CTACATCCTCTACAGACCTCTTCACTCTGCCTTGGGATACATTCATCATGTTTATGATCCCCTTCTGATTATTTTGGCATATATGACATATGGATCTTATTCAGCCTGATATTCTCTATACTGTGACAACCCTGGTAAACACTTACTTGGTAGCCTTTTCAAAAAGAATGTAAAATTTGCTCTCAAGTACAAAGTATCCAGAAGAAGCAGGATGTTGTTTGCAAAGAAGTGACCCAAAAACTTTGAAGTTGATGGTAGAGAAATATCTCTGGAAATAAAGAAGAAGGAAGGAAACTTGTGGAAGGAGAAGAAAGTTGCTGATTATGAAGCTCCAGCATTTTCCAGCTTCTGTAACAACATTTTCTTCTTGGCCTTGGTCATTGTATTCTTCTTCTTTCTTGGAAGAAAGCCAATCCCACAGGGAGCATCTTGTCCATAAATGAACCATCAGGGCTCATGCCCCTCCTTTCTGTTGGCTCCAAGAAAACCCTTCCAGCTTATCCCCTTGCTTTTGTATCTATGGGTGGCCTCGTTATTTGGAAAAACAGCAGGCTGTTCACGGTTAGGAAGACAAGATGTTTTTATAGTCTGGATTTTGAGCATTTAAAAAATGTAACAGAATGTAATTCATTAGTTGTTTAATGGCTTTTTATGACAGATAATTGAAATTGAAAGGGAAACTCAGATTATCAGCACAACTCTTAAAAAGGCAAGTAGTCTTACAATATGGTATAACCGCAAGAGGAGAAAATGACTTACTTTCTGGTTCTATTAGAGGTCACAGCAACTTGTGATGAGCTATTATTATTTATTAGAGTAGCAAGAAGTTAATTGGTTCTCCTTTTTCCAAGCAAAATATTACAACTGTTTTTGAAAGAAAAAATTTCAATGCATCCTTTTTCTAAATGGATTGAAAAACAGCCTCATGTTCACGGGCTCTGGATTTGTGAGTTCAGCCCTCTATATTTTTAAAAAGGAAAGCAGCCAAGGTAGAGCTAACAATAGCACCAGGCTGTTTGAGGGGCAGTGGGGTTAAAGCACACAGTGTTCAGCTATGACTTTAGCTCTGGGTGGCTATGGAGGTCACCATGATCTATCCTGCTGGGTTAACACATTGTGACTGGAATCACTCTTGTCCTGGACCATGATTTCACACCACTGGAAGAATGCTAAGTGAGAGAAGCTCTTTCCTCAATATTGACATGAAAAGACCAAAGTAATGTTTGTGAATTTAATTTTTTTAAATTTTAAAGAGAAAAAAAATAAAAACAATGATATAGAGTTTCAAAACAAAATAATAGGAGATTAAAAATATTGTTATAATCAAAGTAATTGTCATATTAAAAATTAGGCATGAAAGATTCATCAACCAACATAAATACATACCATCCTTTTTAATGAACTAGTAGAAATTAGTAGTATATTTATATTAGATATCATAT